GTGTCAAAGCAACTGATTGCAAAGAATAGTCCTTTTTTTTTTTGCAGTACTGGGGATTAGCCCCAGTGATATTCTACCATGAGATACATCCATAGCCCCCTTACTATTTATTTTTCATTTTAAGACAGAATCTTGTTAAGTTGCCCATGCTGGCCTTGAACTTTCCATCTTCCTGCCTCTGACTCCTGAGTTTCTGGGATTATAGCTATGTACTGTCATTCCTGGCAGGAATAGTCCTTTCAAGAAATCACACGGGGACAACTGAAATAGCCACATACAAAACTAGACTGCATTCCTTCCATACAAAATACACAAAATCCAAAGGATCACAGAACTAAACAAAGAGCTACAGTTACTAAAAACTCTTAGAAGAAAGCATTTAAGTAAATCTGTGTAGCCTCAACTTCATACAATAGTAGAGGGAGTAGAAAATGGTACAGCCTCTTTAGAAAACAGCTTTCAGTTCCTCTAAATGCTAACAGCAGAGTTACTGAATGATCTGTCAATTCTCCTAGATACATACCAAAGACATTAAACAGCACACATCCACACAAAAACTTACACAGAGCACCATTATCTGTAACAGGCAAAAAGTGGAAAGAACAGAACTGTCCACTAACTAATGAATGGACAAACAAAAAAAGTGTATTCACACATTGGAATATTATTTGGTCATAAAAAGGGAAGAAGTACTGATCCACAAGGCATCACAGATGAACCTGGTAACGGTATGCAAAGTGAAAGAAGTGTATCACAAGAAAATCACAGACTGTGTGATTCCATTTAGATGAAAGGTCCAGACTGGGCAACCTAGAGATAGAAAGTAGCTCAGAGTTGGGGAGCTTGCAGGGAAATTGGAGGTCACTACAGATGTGTTCATGGCTTCCTTCTGCAGGGAGCAGAACATTCTGAAATGGGCTGTGGTGAGAGTTGCACAACTTCCAGAACCCAGTGACCCACACACTTGAAGTGGGTGTAATATCTGGGACGCAACTTAGAGCTCAATAAAGATGTTTGTTAAAAAGAAAAGGAGCCCGTATTGCACATACTGATGGTCAACACAGAGACAGCCGGACAGAAACATTTTTCAGTGTACTTAGTTCTAACCACTGAAACCGCAAGATGGATTGTGCAAGGTTCAGCTGTTTCCCCAGCAAACCAGAGAAAGAGGACAAGAAGCACCAGGCCAGAGCTTTGCATGAGTCTAGCCCGGGCGAGGAGGGGCCGGGGAAGGGTTACACACACAAGAAAACAGAGGGCTCCAGACAAGCACAGTGTCACCAGGCTCTTTCCTGCACATTTTCCCAACTCGGGCAGGGACCCCTCTCAGGCAAGAGGAAGTGGTGAATACTACATTTTAAAAGGCATGGAGAGTCAAACATCACTGGTACAGTGTTGGTTTTAACAGGAAGTTCGTGTTGGATGAACTTCCTGGATGGAATAAAAGTCAGGCATAATGACAGGAGGCAGAGGGAGTGTGAAACAAGCTGCCGGTCGGATGAAGACGGCCCTCCACGGCGTGCAGAGCGGGGAGCCCAGTGGGAGCCTCTGCAGATCGGACCTGGGACGCCCTTCACCCTCACCTCTCCAGGAATCAGTCGCCCTACTTCTGCCAACCTTGCTTCTCAGCTCCTCTCGAAAAGGGCACCCGAGTGTCTACCTCCTGACTCCAGCTCAGCCGCCTGCCGTGGTCATTGGGTCCATGGACGTGACCTGCCCACTCCCAGCTGGGCCTCCATCCATCGCAAGAAAACAGCCCAGCAGACCCCACCACACTTTAGCCTGAGGCAGCGCCCCACAGAAAGGGGTCCTCTACTTTTGTAGATCTTCTCCAAGCATGATTTTGTTTTCAGTGCTGGGGATCAAAATCGGGGCCTGATGCATGCTTAGGCAAGCACCCTACTCCTGAGCTAAGCCCAGAGCCCAGCAAGTATGATTATTTTAAAATGGAAATATTTTAAAAATACACACACACAGTCGTGTGTTGATTTTCAGGACTAATAACATTATTTTGCATGTTCAAGTCTTATTTAAGGTTATACTTAGAATTCTGCAATAGCTCTGGATAAAATCAGCTTGACGCCCATGTATTCTTAGTATTTTTTTCATTTTCAATGTTTTATTAGCTTTTCTTTTTCTTTTTCTTTTTTGGTATCATGGATCGAACTCGGGTCCTTGTGCTTGCGAGGCAGGCCACCAAACCGCTGAGCTAAATAAATCCCCGGCTCTTATTAGTTTTTCTTAATTTGAAAAAGAAAAAAAGGATGCTGGTTATAAAGTACACAACTTGGGACACAGCTCTTCATTCTGTCCCTTTTTACCACTGTCCCACAAAATTCTTGCTCAGTGCCGGAAGAAAGTCCACTTCCTACTCTAAGTGTGTGCTCTCCAATTTTATCTTTTAAAAAGCATGAAGTAAAGTTTAATTTCAGAAGTCAGTCCTGTCAGCTCCAGACGCGTTGGCAGAGCTAGCTGAGTTTTTATTCTGACGAAAGAACCACGGATCCTCCCACCGGAGTCCACAACCATCAAGACCCAGGCAGTCGGCCAGGAAAGACAAAAAACTCTGCAACTGACTTTAACCAAGTGATACAAACAATAAGATGATCTCCTTTAATATGAAAAACTTTCAGTTAGGTTGGGAAAATGATACTGCCTCCGTGAATCAGAACAAGAGAACAAAGTCTGAAATTTTTCCAGGATGCTGACATGTTTTAACGGAGTCATATGGATTAGGATTGTGTTTTAAAGCAAAATCAGAATGGTCTGAAAGCACATATCTAGAAAATGAAGACTTCATTTCCTACCTTAAAACTGTATCCAGAATTCTACAGTAGCTCCTGATATACTGGATAAAAGCTGCTTACTCAGCCTATATAGTATGTTACTCGGTTTGTTCTTGGTATTTCTGTCATTTTCAATGTCTTATTAATTTGTGAAATACCAAAAAGAACAGCAATAATAAATTATATAATTTGCCATACAAATCTTCAAACCATCGTTTCTATCATTATGCTCAACGCCCACCATTACTGCTGGATATTGGGATAGAAGAGGTTAATCCTTACATTGTGTATGTGATGAGACAATTTTAATGAGAAGATGAAGATGTTACATCACCCCAGTCTAAACAGGAGAGCAAAGAGGGAAGTCCAAAGGGAGCCAGCTGGGGAAGCAGGTCTTGACACCTAGAAGGGACGTCTCCCCTGCCCATCACAGGTCCTGACCAATGGGAGGTGAAAGGTGGGGCTGGACAGATAAGCCCCTCCCTCTGCCCTGGGACCACCTGCGGTTCAGGCGCATGCTCCTTCAGGTCCGCCCTAGGGCTGGGGGACGGATTAGCCAAAGCCCCCCAGGATGATGGACAGGGACCTGCGGAGCTCCTCCCTCCCACCGCCCTCAGGAGGCCACTCTGGCCACACACAGCTGGGAAAGATCAGCTGGAAGATGGTTAGGCTTTTAAACACACTGTTTTGTAAAGACATTCTCTGTATTACCAGTGAGCCACTGAAAGAAGGAGTGAGGAAGCTCAGGACACAGGGACAGAAGAGGGGCAGAGACACCGAGACTGACTGCTGTGACAAGGAGGAAGAGGAGGATTCTGCTTTCCAAGGGCCACAGAGGACAGAGGCCTACAGAGCAGGAAGCAGGGCACTCGCACTCCTGGTGCACCGGGCACACAGGCCGGGCATGTGCTGAGCACAGTCCTCCTCTGGGGACACAGAAAATGTGCCTTTATATTGTCACTTCGTTAGCCGGAGATACAGTTTAAAATTATAAACCACGAGGAGAGCAGCCGCAGAGTCCACGGAGACGGGCAGGGATCACACAGTCTGATAACTAACGAGACAGAACTAACAGGAGTAGGCACCAGAAACAGCAGGGACTTTATTTTTAGCTCAAACATTAGGCAGTGTCATTACAAGCACCATTACAGCCGACAACAAGCTGCCAAAACAATTGAAAAATTTCCGTCACTGGAGAGATGAGACTCCGCCAGAGGACACGAGCAAGGCCAGCCGAGGACAACCAAATGGGGCCTCTGAGGGCGGGTGGATCAGATGAGCCAAAGCCCCTGTGGACACAGCTCCCACACTCTCCTCAAGTCTGGATCCTAAAAGTGCACACCTGAGACTAGGGCAGTCAGGAAGGTGGCATTTGGGGTCAGGAAGGAGAGAGTTCCACCAATTCTACTCCATAACGACCAGCTCTGATGCATTTCCTCAGGCTGAAAGCCCCAGGTGAAGCTAGCCCTGGGCTATCTCACCTGCCACCCCACTACACTCTGACAACGAGCACTACACTTAGCACATAGATGCCCCCTTGGGATTGCTAGACACGAGCTGCTCAGTAGACAATCTTCTCCATAAATATTTTCAACAAATAAAGAGAGCTAAGTACAAGAGAGACCTCACCGCTGTGAGGCCCAGCACCCATCCTCCCACTGTCAGACTTCCCTTGGGGAACTCAGCTGGCCTGGCTTCTGGCCAGTGGGGCCCGGGCAGGGCTGGTGCCAGCCGCTCCATGGCAAGTGGATCACCAGCTCTACCAGTGGAGGCACTGGGTCCTTGGAACGCCGTGCTGTACCAAGGGCAGGGTAGGCGAGGAGGGACCCAAGCCACCAGGTTGGAACGCAGGCTGTGGACACAGGCCTTACGCTCTCTGCTGCCCACCCCCATGGGGATGCTGAGGTGCTGGGATGAGGTTGGCAGTGGCCTACGGGGCCGACCTTGCCACTCTCAGGGTAAGGAGGGAGGGAGGCGAAGCCCATGGAGGTGCCACCACCACTGACTAGATGGAAAGGAGTAAGAGTCAAGGTGGACACAGAGTGTGTGGGACTTAGCCCTGCCTCGCCACGGGCCTCCCTTCCTCTTCACAGAACCAAAGCTTGAGCGTCCTTCCTGCGTAAGTCATTTCGGATGGGTTCCTGTCCTCCCTGCCAACAGGGTCTTGCCCAATGCCAAGGAGCCTGTGCAACAACTCCAGCACACGGTACTCACCCGCTCCTGCCCAGCGGTGTCCCAGATGAGGAACTTGTGAAGCTCATTTCCACAAGGCACAGTTTTGGTCATGAAAGAGGCCCTGCAAAGAGAGTCAACACCCCATGTTACTGGTGTTCCCCGAGACCCACGGGTTGCATGGGTTCACGTCTTTCCCCCTGCACAGCTCCACGTCTATGCCTAGCCCACAGCCACGAGCAGGAGGGGCGGCTCTCGAGGTGAGGCTGCCCAAAGGCAGTGTAGTGCGGTTCCTGCATTTCTTGGTAGCCCAACTGGAGGCACCAAAACAAAACAAACAAGAATGCGCTCAGAAGACTTCCAGAAACAGCTCCACTTGCTTTGAGGCCACACTCCCAGATCTGAGGGAGAAACGCAACCGCAGCTACTCCAAACTTGCCGTCATGACAGTGCAGAGTGAGAAGGGCAGCTGGCCATAGCTGTGACTACACGGCACACAAAAAAGTAGCCTTGCACACTTACCTACGCCCACTAGTAGGGCGCCACGTCTAAAGTCCAATCTGCCTGCCTGGAAGTCAGGACAGAGTAGGAAACAACAGAAACTGATGCTTTCTCTATTACCAAAAAAACAAAACCAAAAAAAAGGGATCGATTTTAAAGTTTCAATAAATTGTGAAATACTTGATATTTTCTTTTTTGCACACTTCTTCTTACTAAGCATTTTCTCCAAGCTCATGAGAGGTGTAAAAATCCAATACAAGGAACAGTTAGTAGCCTTGACTTCTCTTCTATGAGTTAAAATTTCCCACTCATTAAAAAGTAGCAAGTCTGCCCAGTAGTGTGGGACAACTGGCCCTAAGAAGCCTCCAAAAGTGATGAAATTTAAAAAAAAACGATGGGGTGTTCCAACCAAAAACATTTAATTGGAATTCGATTATGAGGAATCAACCAGGCCACTGAAGAACAGAAATGTTCTTCAGGACAGCTGGCCTGAATGTTTCACGTCAGCCAACATCATGAAGAATGAATCAAAGGCCATGGAGATTTTTCCAGATCTAGATGGAGAGGAAAGAGACAAAACGACCAAAGGCAACAGATGAGTCATCGCTGTGACCAGGATCTGGGGAGGTGGTTTTAAAGCCATCTTTAGGACTCCTGGAGAGGGGCCAGGAGCACAGCCCAGCGCCAAGGGCCTGCCAAGCAGCATGTGCAAGGCCCTGGTTTGATCCTGGCACTGCAGAAATTAAAAAAATAAATATAGGACAACTGGAGAACTTTAGATTGGGACCACATGTGGGAGACCACCAGCGAATCAAACACACCTTCCAGGTATGGTGCCCTGTCCTCACCGCGTTCTCAGGACAGAGGGAGCCAGGGAGCCAGGGTCTGAGGGCCCAAGGGGCCCACTCCATCCAGCGCCTCGTCACAGAACTCCCTGGACTGCGGCCACTCGAAGAGCAAGAGAGGCAGGCCACAGAGGTCCCAGGTGCGAAGGCACCAACCCCGCGACACCCCACAGTGTCCACACAAGCCAGGCGTTTTCCTCAGTGACTTGACCACTGTGGTGAAAGCCAATCTCTTCCTTTGCCTCTGAAAGTGCTGAGAGGAGACATTCCAGAGCACGGGTAAGAGCAAAAGCACCCAAGTGGAGCTTCCTATTTCTCCACTGGAACGCAAGTGCAGATTTCACAAAAACTCAATGTAAAAAAACGAAAATACAGAAGGAAACAAAAACCAGCCATCTCTTGTCACCCACGGTCATTGCTAATAAGTTGGTATATGTCTTCTCAGTATTTTTACACAATGTTGACCCTGAAGATGGATCATACTCTGCATGAACTGTGGTTTCTCCACCTGGCACACTGTGAGCCTCTTCTCACGTCTGCAAGGCAGAACATTCATGCTCTGAAGCGGCAGAGCATTATATGCCATGTTAGGAATTATCCAACAGCCCACTGACGGGCGTTCTGGTTCCAGGTTTTTCACTCTTCCGGCGCCGTGCTTGCACTCACATCTGTGTCCTGGCACACACATGCCTGCCTACACTTAATTCTTCAAAGTGAACAGCCTCTAATTTTCACTGCAGATGCCAGGGGTCCCAGCAACGTGCACTCCTGCGGCCACGATAAAATGGGCTTTTCCCCAGCCGTTAGCTCTCTCTCTCCAATCTTTTCTACTGTGAGAGGCAGAAAATGACATCTCATTCCTGTTTTTCATAACGCTCACTAGAAGTCTGGGTGTCATTGATGGTGCTCTTGTTCATTTGTATTTTCCTTCGGTAAATCCCTTCTGTGACATTCGCTCCCTGTTCAATTTGGGTATTCACTCTTTTCCTACTTATTTTTCAAATAGTTTACACTAACCTTCTGCAATATATTAAAAATAACATTTTCCAGTTAAACATTTGCCCTTTTACTTTTCCTACAGATTTTCCTCCCATAAAAGCACTGGAAATTGTTACATAGATAATAGCTACATCAACTTTTTGTGTTTGTTTTTGCTGTGCTGAAAGCCAAGTTTTCATTCACTCCAGTGTACTCCGGGCACGGGAGAGACACCTCGCTGACCTTGCGCTTCCAAAGTCCTCCTCAGGGTTAGAAATAAAGCTCATGTCTTTCAATATGAGAAGCACAGAATCTTTTTTAGAGCTGGTAGCGGAAAACACAAAAAAACCCAAGTCAAAACCTTCCCTAGACAGGGAAGGGAGGAAAATGTCTAAGAACCAGACTGGGATCCCAGTCATCTTCTGACGGCACAGTCAGGGACTGAGTGAAACCGTCTCGTCTGTGAAAGGAGGCACATGCCAACTCCCTGTCACACACGGGGCTCGTGACAGGGCCCAACAAGGAGCAGACGCCCATGAAACGCCCCCCATCACAGGGAGCTATGAAGAAACGGGTATCGGGAGTAACTACCTCGCGCACACACTCACACTCACACACACAGGGCCACGCAGGAAATAAATCGGAGGCCTGTGCAAGTATCCACAGAAGCAAAACTTAAACTTAAATATCCACTAAATATCATTGCTTTAATGACCACTTAATGGCATAAAATGCACAGTGTAATGCTGAATGAGAAAGAATCAGACACGCAGAGGAAAAGGATTGGAGGAAAATATAGCAGATGTTTTAAACTAATTACCTCTGGAAGACAGATTTATATTTGTACTCGTGATTTTCTTCATTTTCAGGTATTTATCATGAGTATATAATACTTTTTCTTTTTGTTTGTTTGTCTTTTGGAGACAGGGTCTCACTATGCAGCTCAGACTGGCCTCAAACTTGTGGCAATCCTCCTGCTTCAGCCTCCCGATTACAGGGATTACACACCTGGCTATAATACTTCTATAATCAGAAAAATATATTATCTTTATCATGGTTGTGAAGATTACGTGACATCAGAAACCGTTTAAAATATATAAAGTACAAAACAAGATTAATATATATGTGTTCTTATTTTTAGAAAATCTGTTTTTTGAGATCCTGGGTGACACGACTGGCGCCCCCTACTGGCCATCAGCCCAGGCCCTCACCTGTGCCCTGCTTGCTCCATCTCTGACCACAACCCAGACAAGTGAGCTCTGTAATCAGAAAACTGGGACTTAATCTTGGCTCTATCAAGGAAACACATACACAGCCATAATGAAGAGTGAGGAAAACTTTCTGGACTGGGTACTCAGGCTGATGGGTGTCATTAACAGTATGATAAAATCATTCATTAGAAGGCCCACCCTTGCACATTCTGAACTCTATATGCCGGTTCTATAAATGGAATTATATGGGATACAGAATTAGTACAGTCCTGTGGCTTCACTTTTTAACTTTATTCTACCTATTTCCACATGGTTTGAATTTTTTCATAATGAGTATTATAATTAAAAACTATACAACTAACGATATACTATTAGTGCTTTTTAAGATGTTTTAGTTTAACAGAAAAACTGAGCAGAAAGTGCAGTATTTCCATATAGCAGATAATTTTGGGGGGGGTTGAGATAGGGTCTCACTATACAGTTGAGACTGACCTGGAACGCACTATGTAGTCCAGGCTGGTCTCAAACTCACAGCAATCCTCCTGCCTCAGCCTCCTGAGTGCTGGGATTATAGGCGTGAGCCGCCATACCCGGCCTCATTTGGGGGGGGCAGTACTTGGGGATTGAACCCAGGGACTTTACACTGAACTATTTATTTATTTATTTATTTGTTTGTTTTTAGACAGGGCCTCACTAAGACATCAGAGCTGGGCTCAAACTTGAGATCCTCCTGCCTCAGCTTCTCAAAGTATTCTGGGATTACAGTCATGTACTACCATGGCAGGGATGATTTAAAAAAAGAAACCCAAATCACCAAAATGCATTTATTGGAAGAAGCACTGTCAACCGTAGTGCTGTCCACAGTGGCTACCAACACTGACCCTGAAGTCCGCATACACACACAGCTCCTTCCTCACCAGCTGAGCTCATTTCCATCCCTGACCCTGGGCTCGCTATTGCTTAACACATGTTGTACTGGATTGACTGATGGTCATCGTGTAACCCCCAGCTGAACTGAATCAGCGTGGTCGGGGTGTGGAGGACCCACCTGAAGATTGTTACCAATAGCCATAAAAAGGGAACTGGAGGGGAAGATCTGGGCCCGTTGATTTTCTGGGAGAAGGTTGCTGTGGATGGTTTTCCTGTTGGAACTAGGCTGTTCTGGCTGAGGAGGAGCTCAGGACCTTGCTGTCGCTGGGAATGGCTGCTGCTTTCTTCGGCGGAGCTCTGACCTTCACCATGAGCATCACTTCCTGGCTCCAATGTGGATCCCTCAGCCTGGTGGCACAGATCCTTCATCTCATGAGCACAGATTTTCTGGCTTCTGCCACTGGCCTTTGGGCCTTCCAGGTGCAGATCCTCGATATAGACAAGCATGAGACATCGCTCTGGGTTCCAGGCCACTGACTGGACTCTAAGCCTTTAGCTGGACCTGTGTGGGACACTGCTGGGACCCAGGCCCTCAGTTGAATGCTTGGGCTTCTCATGTGCGGTTAATCTCTTGCACTCCTTTGCATTTGACTTTTTGAGTAATTATCATAAAATAACCTTATAAGTTATGTGTCCCGTATTTAATGTATTCCCTCGCCCAATCCTGCTAACTACAACACATGTGTACACCGACCGCAGGCTGTGGTCTCAGCATGCACTGCCTAAAATAAAAAGCATCTCAAAGGAGCACAGATTTGTCATTTTAAATTTTTAAAATAAGTTTAGAAAGTAGTCCTCCATCTTGGGGAACCACGTGTCACAATCTCTTAGAAGTTTTGCTTTTATTGTCAAAAAGCAAACACAAAGCAAAAACTTAAAGAGGGAAACAAAAAGAACACCCGAGACCAGGGAGGAATTCCCCCGTAAGCACCGTCCCTCACCCTCGAGTGGCCATGTCTAGGGACAGCTGTCCTGGGTCCTTCCCGGGTGCGCACCTTGCAAACAGAGACGCGGCTTCCGCGCGGCTCCTTCCGAGGGTGTGGCCCGGTGTGAAGATCAGGTCCGGGCCGAGGCCTCCTCTCCAGCGCCCCAACACCCCAGCTTCGCAGGCGCACCCGACCCATCCGCCCACCGTCCTGCGGAAGCTGGCTCTCCGGGACCAACACTAAGGCCGCCGTCGTCCGGCCTCTGCCTGGGCCTTGTGCCCCGCTGCAGCCAGAGAGCCAGGCCAAGCGGACTGGCGAGCGGAGCACCGGTCTCCAGGCCACACATGAACTGCAGTGCATGCAGCACTCTGGGAGAAGACCCTGAGTGCGTGAGACTGGGCCCTTGGCACCTCAGGACGAGTAAGGAAGGCTGCCTCGGGCTGGAGAATCCCTTGCACGTGGGTTTATTAGCACCTAAGGTGTGCCGGGTGCAGGCCTGGCCACGGGGGTACCAGGACATGTCCTGGTGGAAATGACCAACTGGGGAAAGAGACAATTAAAAAAATAAATAAAATAAAATAAAAACCAGGCCGAGCAGCCCCGCCCAGCATTTCTGTACTGTCACTGACAAGGAACCACCCCTCTGCCCACACAGTGCTCAGGTTTCCCCAAGCAGGCAGACACACGGCTTCCTTCTGCAGAAATAAATCGCTCCTAAAGCTCAGGGAATCTTCAGGGGGAAAACGAGCGAGGCCCAACTTGCAAAGAGTAAGAAGCAAGCATAGCACATTCGGCCAAGGGGGTGCCGGGACAGGAGGAGAGGAGAGGGGAGCACACTGCCCTCGAGGTCAGGGCTGGCGATGGGCCCCCACTCTCCTCCCCTGTGAGCCCTAAGAAGAGCAGAAGGGCTGGTGCTCTTGGACATCAGGAAACGGCCTAGGGCTGCAGCGGGATGAAGGTGGCCTGGAAGAATCAGACTGACGGGGACACTAGCTGGACATACGGCCTGGAGAGCCCTGCGTCCCCAGCCTTCTACTCGTCACTGACTGGGATGATGGCAGTGGCTTGTGAGAGGCTTGGCCACAGCGCCTCCCCAAGGACCCAGACAGGAAGAGCACAGCGACTTACCCGATGGTAGGGCTGATGTTGTGGTCAAAGTGGTCCTGCACGAAGCGGCACACGATGCTGGACTTCCCAACGCCGGTGTCCTAGGAGACAAGGAGGGTGCAGCCGTGAGGATCGGGCCCCGCTCTGACCCGCTGTGAAGACCATGAGGGTCGGGCCCCACTCGGACCTGCTGTGAAGACGCCCAGAGCACAGGATGGGGCGGAAGAACGGGAGAGGTGGCTCTCACCAGTCTTTTCTATAATTTACTTGTGTTGCTTTCACAGAAAGCAGAAGCATGGTAAAGCTAAGTTCCAGAAACACATTCCACTTATACCCAACAGTTAACCTAGTGCGAGCATGCTCACAGCACCTGTATTTCCAGAAACCTGGAAACGGGGGATGTGGTTCAGGGACTACACAGAGCAACACATTGCGTTGGTAGAAACAGAATTGATTTTGTTCAAAACTTTATCAGCACTCAAAAAAACACAGTCTGTTTCTCTAAGTATCACCCTGTAAGACAATGAATTTTAATCTCTGTACTTCTAATGTTTCCTCTTTAGACTCTGACGGTTGGATAATAACCTCCAGTTTTGCTTAAGCCTCTGAAGGTCTCATCTCAAATCTTTTTCTGTTTGACAATTCTCTAAAACAGATTAGGACAGTGGTCCAGGTACACATTGGAAACTGAATACATGTGTTTATTTCCACTGCTTTCCTAAACGTTTGCAAAGTAGTTTAGGAAATAAAAGACTCCAATTCTCAAAGAGACGGAAGAGAGCACCCCCAAGAAGTGGTACTGGGCAGATGCAGGAGGATGGGCACTGCCCGAGACAGAGGTGGCAGAACCCAAGGGCCAGCAAGGAGGGAGGCAGTGGACAGCAAGGCCCCGGTGCCTGCGCATGCCAGGAAACAAGGGCCCTCTGTGGGCTGCACACAGGCTTACCCTGGAGCCCCGGGAAGAAATGGGAAGATTATCCTCCAGGAAACCCAGGCTTGGAAACACCACCACACGAGGGGCAGGGCGGGGGGCTGTCCCCTGAGCAGTATAAGCCCAGATAGAAGCAGTGGGGCTTCCCTCTGGGTAGAGAAAAAAAATCTCAAAAATCTAGCATTAGGGTCTCCAACTAAAGGCCATGTGTGTGCCGTACACAAGGCACAGCGCAAATGGGGCTTTCAATCTGCATTTCAGTCTTTTACAAATAAATACTCAGCTAAGAGAACTCAGACCTTGATACCCACCAGAAAAAGAACAGGGGCTGATTTAAAAGACCATTCAGGAAATAAGAACAATCACTTAGAAATTAAACCACTAACAGTAGAAATTAAAATTCTGCAAAAGAGAAATTTAGAAAATCACAGAGTAGCCCAAGGTCCATCAAAGCCACTGCCCCCAGGAGGTAAAAGCTACTCTTCCAAGACATGGTGGGAGACAGATACGAGATTCAGACTTTCAGGCTTTCTCAGCACAGAAACATCTTGCTAGTGTGTTCGTATCTCAAAGAATCACAGAGACCTTCGGAGATGAATCAGCAACAGAGACACGGACATATTTAGCAAGGGAAGGAAAAACAGTACTGTCTTTCTCTTGAATTACAAAAAAAGCCAAAAGACCAAGGAGATAATGTTGAAACTTTGGAGAAACGTGTTTTTCTTCAGACACTGAAATATGAGATGAAATTGGAAATCCCGACCTGCGGTCCGGATTCTTCACATTCCCTCTGGTTCCTGTGACACTGGGAGGGACGGTCCCGCTCCCGCAGGCCAAGGCACCCACCCGGCCTGTCACACATCATCCCTGAGCAGGCTCGGGCCTCATGTATGTCCAGGGGAGAGTTCATCCCAGGCACCCTTGCCCACGCCACCCCGAATGATGGGCCAGGGATGCCCCTGCTCCCCAACATGAACCAGTGTCCCCTGGCGCCTCCAGAGGGTGAGCTGCTTCACAAGCTGCTGGGTGTGGCAGGGCCTCCTGGGCTCGTTCTTTGCTCCTGAGTCACCAGCAGGTCCCCGGCCACCCTCCCCTCTGCCTCCAGCTGCTGTTCTGGAGTCTGTCCAAGTACCCCACCCAAGCAAGGGCTCCGCTCCAAACGAGCGACCCAAGTCCCTGAGCAGCCAGCAGAGCCAGCCTGCAAGGTAAGGTCAACCCTCGAGCAGCCCTGTGTGGCGAACAGCCACAAGCTACTTAGTTTCCCAGCGCTACTCGCCTTCTCCAACTGGCTCGGCTTCTAGAGTAGTTGGTGCAGCAAGCCGTGCTGGACTCGGACCGAACCACCAGCCACTGTGCCCAGCCTCTCTGCCTCTCTCTCTCTCTCTCCTTCCTTCCTTTCTTTTTTTCTTTCTTTCAAACAAATTATCAGCACTTCTCTCTCATACACTTAACAGGAAAAAGATACCAGGACAAATGGATAGACATTTTTGGTTTGTTTCAAAAAGGGAAATATTCTTGGAAAGAGCAGCACCAAAGAATGCTGCCTGACCCGTGTCTGCAGCCTGGGACAGGGCTCTGTGCCGCTCGCTGTTCCCGGGCCGGCCGCCAGGGGAGGACCTGCCCACACCAGCCGAGAGCCGGCGCCCTGGGCGCTGCGACTTCCCTTTCCTGTGGCAGCCTGTTGGGACTGGGACCCACACAACACAGGAGAGGCCCAGGGAGTCACGAGGCCACAGGAGAGAAAAGAGGGGGGAGCAGGCAATAGCGGGCCTCGGGCAAACGGGGAGAAGGCGGGTGAGGGGCCCCTGCGCCCGGTTTGGAAGCCACTTTGTTTCCGGTGGCCTTGCACGGATGCAGGCTCGTGCCTGTGCGCTCTTTCCCTCTATAAGATTCAGAGACTTTCACGGCTCCTCTCGACCAGTCCTCTGGTTTTGCAAGAGGAAGCTGTGCAACTTCCTGAAGGTCACACGCTGGCAGAGTCAAAACCAAATGTCCCCGCACCCCGTCAGGTCCTCTCAGGGCACCTCCCTGCCAAGCGCAAATTACTCCAATGATAAACCCAGTTCCCAGAACTCACAGACCTCTTCAGAGTGCTTTCTGGTCTCACCTTGAGCCGCTCCAGTCCCATGCAGCCTGGTATTCAGAGGACAGAGCTGCCGTGATGTGAACAATAATGAAAGGGGAACAGGGACCAGAGCCGTTCTGACTGCCCAGCCTGGGAGCAGACTCCGCGGAAGCCTCCTGGGGGTCACTGACACCTCCCCCTTTCTCTTCCGTGTGGCCGGCACCGAATATGTACCTAGGCCGAGCAGTCAGTTCCCACCTGCTAACTGGGGTCCAGAGCCCTGAGCTGCTCTCCTGCCCCCGGTACAACCCTCAGGAAGCAACCACGGTTATATCAATCCCTGCTGTTCAGATTGCTGCATTTATGAATCACATGTAAACCTGTGACTGTGAAATCAGGACACAGACTTCGGGCTGCTGCCTTATGCAACCCGAGGAGGCACCACCTGTTGGTGAAAGCCAAGCCTACATCCATCCTTCGTCCCAGGACTACAGCAACGCTACCACCCTCCTGCCCCTCCAGGTAAAGAAGCCTAACCCAGCAAAGGCACTGCTGCTACCTGGTCCTGCTCCCACGTGGCCCCTGCAAGTGAACCCCTCACACAGCATCTCGCTGAACCCGAAAAGAGGCTCAAAACCTCCTCAGCCAGCTCTGCAGGGACCCTGTGGAGATCAAGGCCACACCAAGAAGAAACTGCTGTCCTCCCTGGTCACTCTAATCTCACAGCGCTCAACATACCGCCACCGACACCTCCACTCCAAATTCAAGAAGTGCTGCTCCTCTGAGCCTGTGGAGATCGCTGCAGGGGAACTAATAGGACGTCCCCTGCTGACAGCATTATCTATCAGTACACCTCTGCTGGAGAAAAGCAAGTGACTGACTATACCAGGACCACAGCCCCAGGAATTCCATTCCCAATAATGTAACGAGAGAAGAAAAATTGAGCAGAAATAATTCATTGCAGCATGATTTATAAAAATGAGAAATGATCGAAATAAATGAATTATAAATAAAAAATGAATTATAGCATATACAATAATCTTTTAAATGCTGATTTTATTTCCACCACAGGTGTGAAAGAGGCAGAATGTGATTGGTCCAGAGCTCACAGATGCTTCTTGACGCAGAATGTGGTCCTGATAAACCCATCCCAAGTTGAAAATACTGTAAAGAAAAAATGCACAAACATACAATCCATTGGTGAATAATATATTATTCCTGAATAATAATATTAATCCTGGTTTAATACCTACCCTACCCAATATCATAGTGTATCCCGGCTTACCTTACCTTTCCTCAAATGCCAAGGTCAAGTCCACTGACCTACAATGGGTCAAAACTCGTCTCACACAAAGCCTGTCTCACAATACAGCACTGAATATCTCAGGTCACTTCTTGAGTACTGCGTTGGAAGTGAAGACAGAACTGTTGTGCCTCATGGCAAAAGCGGAAGTCAAGCTGCCATAAATCGGGGACCCTCTGTCTGCCACTGGGGAGCACCTGGCAATCCCAGCACCTTCTCTGCAAGAATGTCTGTAGTTTCTGTTCTACACGGTCATCCACGTAGTTACATGTTCAGGTTTGCAGCCTGACCTCTGTAAAGTCCACACACCGGCCTGATGGGGGCTACCCCATCCCAGATGAGGACACTGGGTTTGGTGCAGGGGCACAGCGTGGGCAGCTGGCCCCAGCAGATGCCCGGGGCAGCACTTGGCAGGACTTGGAAGGCGTGAGTCTGAATGTTCTGCAGCAGCCTGCTCTCCAGGCTGTGAGAAAGGGAAGCCACTGCCCTGGCTTTACCTGACAAAGTCTATTCAGTGACTTAAGCCCTCGTGGTAAACTCCAAATTGGCAAATGAAGTTGGTATGAATAAAGAGCAACTGCATGATAATTCGATCTAAGAACCAGTATCTAGGGAAGGCAGCAGCGGGCGTCCTCCTCCCTTCCTCGATCAGGTGACTGCTCACCCCACACATACAGTCCCAGCATTCTCAGCCCCATCCACAGCAAAGGCCAGAGCCACGGATGCCCAGTCTTGGGCCTGACTCTCCAAAACTTAAGGAAAACTTCCTGCCAAGTGTGGTGGCACACGCTTGTAATCCCAG